GAGGAGAGGAGAGGAGAGGAGAGGAGAGGAGAGGAGAGGAGAGGAGGAGCAGTTGCAGTGTTTTGCAATGAAGCCACACTACCCAGCCACCTAGGAAGGTGGGCATTCATGCCTTGTGAATACATGAGATAGAAATGTCCAGTGAGGTATATTACCCAGTGTGTGGGGGCCCTGGTTAAAAGACACATGTTCGGGCCCTAGCATACAGATGCCTACTGGATTATAAGAGCAGGAAGCCCTAAATCTAACCTGAGTTTCTCAAGGCATATCCAGGGCTCATTGTAGCACGGGCCTACACTGGAGGGAACTTAAGTCTCTCCTTTACTTTCTTCATGGGCTCGTAGGCAAGGGATTCCTGGCTCTCAGAAGGAAGGCATCTAAGATAGCCTGCACCTTTGAGGAGAGTCTGTTTGGAGTCCTGCTGGGCAGAAGAAAGAGCCTTGTCCCCAGCACCTGTGTTTCCCTTTGGATAGCTATTGACTTCTGAGAGAGTCTCAGGGCCCCCATTTGTCTTCTCTGGATATATCACTCAGATCTGTATTACTCTGTGAGCAAGTCTTCAAGAGGCCTGGCTCTGAGGACTGAGTGAGGGAGAAGCAGCCCATTGTTCCTGCCTCTTCCCTGGAACCCAAAGCTAGCACACGGATAGTGCAGTCCACACAGATTAGATTAGGCCAACTGTCAGAGCCACCAAACTCAGGTTCTGGACTTCTGACTGTGCCTCAGTTTATCAGCATAAAGGAGCCAAATAACACAACTGCTGAGAAGCTGTGATCACAAACGGGATGGCAAAGGTGCCCCCGGGGTCATCTGAGAATATTCTTGAAGGTGGACATGACCAGTTCCACCAAGACTTAATCAAAGTCCTTAGAGGGGACCTGCTTCTGTATAGGGCTCAGTGACAGAGAACCTGCCAGGAATACATAAGACCTTGGGTTTCAGAAGGAACAAAAATAAAAAGGCAAGTCTCCCCAGTGACAGGATGCCTGGAGTGGGGTCTGCTTAAACAGACATGCATGGAGAGTCTGGGGCTCATATCTAGGTCTGAGCACCCCACTGTCTCCTATAAAGAACAGTCAGCATCTAAGAGCCAAGACTAACTTCCCCCTCAGGTTGAGGCATGGTAGACAGCCCTAGGCGAAGGCAGGCTTGGCCTCAAACTTGGATGTTAGATCGGTAGAGCCAGGTATAGGTGTTAGAGGACCCAGAACTTGCCAGGCCACATGTTGCTGATCAGAAAGGACCACAGAGGACGGCCCTGAGGCCATCCTCCTTCCTAACCTCCCTGCTGTTTTCACGCGGTGTCTTTTCCTGTCCCATCTCTTCTCCTTGTTTTTCCAGAAAAGAAAGTCCAGTTCCAGCGTTCAGTTAATGGTGAGTGTCCGCCGTCTCCCAAACTCCGGTAAATGCTGGGCCTCAGACCCTCGCTCCCTCGCTCCTGCCTCCCTCCTGCAGGCTGCACAGGAACCCGGGGCGGGGAGAGAGTGCTCAGGGCATGCGTGGTACGTGTGCATTGTGTGACAATATGTGTGTGTTGTGTGTGTGTGTTGTTTGCGTGTTTCTGTTGACACCTCCAATTCCACGGCCCAGACCAGCAGGCCAACAGCAGATCCAAGGCCTTCCTCCAGTCCAAAGGTGGATTTGAACCAAGTCCAGCCCTTGGCTTCTTGCTTCTCCCACCCCTTCTGCTCAGGAGCTCATCTCAGGGCTTGGTTTGTGCAGTTTGCTGCTAGGGTGGGGCTCAGTTTGGCCAAAGCAGAAGACATCACGGAGGCTCCTTGAGCTTGGGCAGGCCACCCAGCAGAGGAACCACAGCCCTGCCTCTGTCAAGAGTGCCAGGGGTGACACGGTGGCCCATGCCGCTCGTCTTCTGGTTCCATGGCTGTCTCGGTTGCGCGGTTTTTCTCCCCTCTGAAAAGCCCACCCTCTCTCACACTGGGCCTGCCTCTCTCTTTCTTCTTTTCCTGCCAGTGTGTGTATTCCTGCCCCATTCTATGGCTCCCATGGTGTCTTTCTGCTCTTCTGTACCCCTTCTTTGTCCCTTGAGCAGAAAGAACCCAGGAAGCCCCTCTCAGCACTCCTGAGAGGCCAGGGATCTCCTTGCAGGAACTGCTTCATAGGGGCCCTGCCTCAGCCACCTGCTTAGCTGGGTCCCCTCAGGCTGAAGGGTCTGGTAGGATTTGTCTAAGCATCTGGACAGCAGAGCCTGAGAAGCCACAGAGCCCAGCGAGTCACCAGGCAGCCAGGCAGCCAGGTCGCCAACCTCACCCAACCCCTCCCTCTGCCAGACCCTCCTCACCACCTCCCTCTTCTCTTTGGCAGGAATCTTCTGAGAGTGCCAACACCACCATTGAGGATGAAGACACCAAAGGTAGGGTGACCTGCCCAGCAGACCCCTCACGGTTGTTCCCACCACCATAGCCTGGATTTGGCTTCTGATAAACAGGACATATCTGTGGGACATGGCTTTCCCAGACAGTGCCCAGCACTGGGGGTACTTACATTAGCGTCTGGATTTATTTCACCATCTATCAGAGAAAAAATAATAATATTTAAGCCAGAGACACATAGGAGCACCATAAATTTTCTTTTTGGAATAAGTCATTTTAGTTTGTTTTTTAAAAACTGACTTCATTTTTAAAACATGAAGCAATAAAAATAAAGGAATAGAAAACAAAAAACCCAGAAAGTTCAGTCAGCTGGAGCATGTGAAGTCAAAATCAAAGACCAGCAAAACTAAAGATGCAGGGTTTTGTAGCTCACAGGTTCTGTGAAGCACCCAGATCAGCCAGCTGGAGTGGCACACCTGTAGTCACAGTGCATGAGGAGACAGCAGAAGCAGTATGAGCAGAGGCCTACATGCTGAAGCCTGGGCTCGTAGAGCACCCCTATCAGATGATTAAGGGAGCAAAGAGCTCCACGTGAACAGGAGTCCTGAGAAAGGAAATAGCAAGATGAGCCGTCTTCGGTTCATGGACACTTGCTAAATAGACCAAGGATTCCATCTGCACCAATGTGTGCGTTGCGTGGCCAACCTACAGCCTGCATGGATAGCCATGAACATGTCCCAACACAAAATCACAAACCTACTTAAAACATGACATCTTTAAAAGATTCATTTATTTTAATTTTATGTATAAGAATACTTTGGCTACATTTATCAGTGTACTGAGTGCTTGTGTGGTACCTTCGGAGGCCAAAAGAGGGCACTGAACTCTCTGAAAATGGAGTTATGGATGGTTGTGAGCAGCCACGTGGGTTCTAGGAACTGAACCTGGGTCTTCTGTCCATCCCTCCAGCCCCAAAACATGACTCTTTCTGTTTTGCATTTTTAAAAACTTTCGTGACTGTATTGCATAGTTCTTGTTCATGAACATTTCTGATGATAACATTATTTCACAGTGTGAAAAGAGCAGACCTAGAGCAGTGGTTCTCAACCTAACTAATGCTGTGACCCTTTAATACAGTCCCTCATGCTGTGGTGACCTCCAGCCATAAAATTATTTTCATTGCTACTTCATAACTGTAGTTTTGCTATTGTTACGAATCATATGGTAAATGTCTGATATGCAAGATATTTAATAACGTGACATTTAGTATTGTCTCGACCCACAGGTTGAGAGCCACTGACCCAAGGCTTCCCACAGTCTCACAATTTACCCTTCCATGAACCCTCTTCTCCAGCCAAGAATACAGGATGGAGAGTTTGGGGAACCTGGCTTAAGGTGGGGCTGGGATCTGACCCCAGGCAGTCTGCATCTGGATCCTGGCGAGCAGACAGTGTACTGGAGGCCTCGGGGCAGTGTGCTGAGATTCTGCCCAGGAAACACAGATCCTTGATGGGAAGCAAAGTCCCACAGTCCCACCTGCACCCGTACTCTCCCATTTCCCAACTCTGGGGTCTGCAGGCTTCAGAAGGAGCCAGAGATGCCCTGTGGGGAGGAGTTGTTGAAACTCGGAAAAAGGGTTGCTGGCCTGGAGGAATCTCAGCGGTACTAGTTGAGGCAATTTTTCTTTTTTAGGGTTTTAAATATTTTGCTG